TGATATATTTACCAGAATTAATTATAAATTAAAATAATTATAGTAAGAGTAATAGTAACCGGTACCACCTTCGATGATATTCTAATACAAACATTACGAATTACGACTGCAACACCAGATTTATAGGGTTTAAAGTTTAACTGCATCAATAGGGGAAAAAAGTATAGGTTTTTTTTAATGACATTGCGCCTTAAACTGTTAAAGGTAGTGTAAATTTACGGTAACTAACCGCGTGCAAGTCTTGGTCTTACGTGTTTTGACAAATCCAATCAGGCCTACATGTATAGTTCAGTGAAAAGAACACTTAATCTTAAACATTCAGTGTTCCTCAAGGTTTAATCTTTAGTCTTCTTGATAGGCAGTAGGCCTACGACTTATGTACTACAATTTCATATGCAGGTGCGGTAAGCATACTGACATCAGTAGCAGCACAGCGTGTTAACAAGTGCTTGTTAAATACACTGGTATATTGTTCAAATATACGTGCCTACTCCTTAGGTGTAATATTCAATTTTCAAATTGGCATGGCAATTCCAGAAATGTGGCCATGCATCTACACCCATATTCTGCCTTGCTGACTACACCATAAAAGAATCATCGTCAGCTAGCGGCCGCCGCCCTGGTGATCAGTCTCAACAGGTTGTCATGGAAACAATTGAGATGACGCATCATCACCATTATGCAAATTACTTGGTGTTGGATCGATGAAGCTCCTTAGTTTTTAGGACACATTGAATAATAATCTAGCTATGTTATTAGGCACACTTTCAAAACACAATATATCTAATTTTAAGTATGTGTAGCCAACTGACAAACCAACATTTCGTTTTCATAACACTGAATTGCTGTGTGACAAATATTAGCAATCCTTTTTTTTTACATTAGCATCAGTGTAGTAATATTTATATTTTGTAGTAAAATTTATAATTTGTTACATTTTTTAATGGACAAGGAGTTCGGAGAATGTAAACTTTATCGGTAAGAATGCAAGTCAACTGACAAACCAATATTTGGAATTTCAAATAATGGTCGTAGAGCGTACTGTAACTAATGCTTTCTTTCAGTGACTGTCAGAAAACACAATATGTACATCAATATGTTGATATTAATTATCTATGTTACATCAATCACACAACATGCTTAGCAGCATGAAATTATAATATCCTATTGGAAACAATTACTGAAATAATAATATCATTAATGACAATGTGCCTACTAGGCCTGTTAAAATGCCTTTGCTGCGTAGATATTAATCAATCAATTAATTCAATCATTTAATCAACCATCCAACCTCTACCTAAGAAATTGATAAATACATTACTAAGTTAGTTAATCAACAATCAATCGATCTCAATCAATCAATCAGTAAATCAATCGACCTCAATTAATCAATCAATCAACCAATCAATCGATCGATATCAAACAACCAACCATCCAATCAATCATTCAATCAAGCAATCAATCAATCAATCAATCAATCAATCAATCAATCAATCAAAATGTAGGCAATCAAAGTGCACAGTCTTCTTAACCTGAGTAAAAACTTACTGTAAACAATCATGGCCGCGCCAGCGGGGCGGGGGAGGGCCCCCGTCGGGGGGAGCTGCACAATTCGTCGGGGAGAAAAAAAAATTATATGTATTTTCTACATATCAGTAGACTCTAAAACCGATTAAATAAACCTTTGAAACCCCTAAATTGTCAGAACATTCGGGGTCTTTTAATCGAAGCTCGACCACGCCCACTTTGCTTTCGTCGGGGAAATCTGACCCCTCGTAGGGGCATCTCCCCCCCCCCCTGGTCGGGCAAATCCTGGCGCAACCCCTGACTGAAACAGAAAAGGCAAGGGATTGGAAGTCAATCATCTTAACCACCAAACTACAGTAGAACCCCTATAAGGGTACACATTCGGGACTAAAAATTAGTGTCCCCTTAATAGGGTGTCCCCTGAATGGGGATACCCTTATTCAGGGGACACTAACCTAAAACGTGAAGTTGTCCCCTTAATAGGGGTTTTGGCATGTTTTCATATAACAATGCCATACGTTTTTTATAATTTTATTTTTATTGACATATTAGTTACAGTACAATTACAATTAATTAACAGCAATTACAAAATTAATAGCAATAATATAAAATAAGCAGAAATGTAATTAAAACAACAATAGTTTTACAGTATATGTTCCCAATATTATTTCATGATGCAATGTTAGTAACCAAGTTCTTCTTTTTTTCTAATATTGAGTTATCTATTCGATGAATGTAGCATGACGATGATGGTACTGTAGTAGAGAGTGGTGAATATGAAGATGACGATCGTGATACGCTGTTGTGCAGCTAATTTCAATTACAAACGAATAAAAGCTAGGTCAAGTTATTGCTTAAAATAAATACATCTAAAAATATTACTTGTAGCTTGGTGGGTATAAAGTATTCTAATACATGGGTTCTAGGTTAATGCTTAGAGACATTATTCTCATGATACTACAAATAAATTCACCCTCTCAGCTTGAAAATATAAGACGTATTATAGAGCATGTCCCTAGTTCTATTTTGTAATTTAGGAGTGTATGGGTGCAATTAATGTAAACAAAGCAAACAGGCAATACACATTATGCACAACGTATGAAGACGTAGAAATTGTCATAGAAAAACAAAAGAAAGGTAAAAAGTATATATATTTATG